CTCAGACATTTATTGTTTTCAAAATATGTGTATATGGGTGTGTGACCTTGAGTGCATTGAGTGGAAGGTAGATAGTTGAACGAGGAAGTTATTAGGGTGATTGTTAGGCAAGATATTGTGGTTTCGAAAGTAGGAGAAGCGTCTCTGTGTTGATGATTTACAAATCATTCGGTTGCCCTAAATTGTCATGAGAATGAGGGTGATTTTACACTTTTTGTGTGGTGTTTTCACGTCATTATGCGACCAAATCGTTGTGCAATATCCCATACGACCTCTTTTCAAGTATAAGAATTAATTGGTCGAAGTAGCACCCTTAATCATGAGAAGGCATGAAGATATTTATGAATGTAGTTATGATGGAGACCTTCTCCAAATTCCTAAAAGGGGATGGAAACACACTTATAACTTTTTCGGAGCCGATTGTTTACCGTCAAGTTATTATCACACGGATAGGTATTCCAGGATCATGACATTTGGCGTTCCAATATCTCTACGCACCTATGATTTAAGACCCTACCAGCAGAAAAGTAACTTCATCTTTACTCCAACAAAAAGTTCAGTATAATAAATGGTATTTTGCGCATAGGATCTGCGTCTCGTCCTCTATTACGCAATAGGGCGCCCCGAGCAGGCTTGTTGGCGAATTTACTCGTTACCCAAGCTTTAATAAGCTGTACCGTTGCATAAGGCGGCTTTTAAAACTCGCTGTGCCAGCCTGACTGTACTGGTTGTCTTAAGTTCGGGTAGTGTGGGAGCGACGCTATAGATGTTTCCAAGATTGTGTACGAAGTAACCACGAATGGGCCTTGAAGTAGGGGAGTGCTAATCAAAGGGTGTCGAGTTTCAAGGTCAGATGAAGTGTTGTCGAGGTTTTTTATTCGATATTGTCACAACAAGGATATGATGCGCGATCGTGACATGAACTTGTGTACTTTTTTGTGGGCATAAGAATAGCATTCTGAATCCGAACACTAAACGAAATCTCATGGTTTGGCTTTATTTATTTATTTATTTATTTATTTAACACTTTATGCACATACAAAATCATATATACAAAGGCGGACTTAATGCCCGAAGGCATTCTCTACCAGTCAACCTCAAGGGTGATGCAGAGAAGTGTTAATAATAGGTTTTAAACAAGCACACAATGATTGTATTGATGAAAGTACAGGCATGTAAGGCAACATTTACATATAATACAAAACATAATGTATGAATACAATAAATCTAATCTACAAATACACATATAACATATAAATAATACATAAATAATATAATTAAATATGGGAAGAATAGATTACGAATATATACAAGAACAAAAACAACAATACACTAATTAGTGGAATCTGTCAGTTTCTTTAGCAAGTAATTCCGAACTTTAAATTTGAAAGATAGCCGACTGGTTGCCGTCCTGATATCCGTGGGCAACGCATTCCACAGCAAAATTGATTGGACAGGAAAGAATAATGTACAAAGTCAGTCCGGTGTGAGGGACAGTGGAGGAGACGATTATTTGTGGACCGAAGAATATTTGCTATGGTTGGCGCTTACATACTGAAAATAGGGGGCCAAATAACTAGGAGAAGTAGGGGAACAGAGAAGTGAGAATAAAGTGGTTAGCGCGCGTTGTTCCCTGCGCTGACGTATGGGCAACCACTTTAGTTGCAATCGATAGGCAGAGACATGGTCGTAATTTGCGCAGGTTGAAGACGAATCGAATGCATTTATTCAGAAGGCGGTCCAGTTTGTTAAGTAGATCTGCATTCAGGTCGTAATAGCAGACATCCGCATAATCAATGATAGGGACAACAAGGATCGAACAAGCATTGCCTTGGTGGAGGACGGAAGGAAATTTTTCAAACGATATAGTGCCCGAAGCGTTCCCGTTACCCGTTTACAGACAGCAGCGACGTGAGCCCGCCAGGTTAGACAATTATCGATGTATAGCCGAGATTCTTCACATCACTACTCAACGAGATGATCGCACCGTTAAAAAGGATAGGTGGCACAGCATTGCTGTCAACCCTTCCGAAGGTACGGGAGCTCCCCAAAATTATCGCCTGACACTTACTCGGATTAACGGCAATCCCAAACTTTGTTGACCAGTTATTCAAGGCAGCCAGGTCCGCATTCAATCTCGAGATCGCATCAGGCAAATCCTCGACCCTCGCTTGACAATACAACTGCAAGTCGTCAGCATATAGATGGTACGCACACTGAAGTTCGGAGGTACACAGTTAATAAAAGTAGAGAATAAAAGAGGAGAAAGAATTCCGCCTTGAGGAACGCCAGCCGTTAATTGGCACCAGTTTGACGACGACTCGTCACCTGGACCAACTGCTGACGTCCCCGGAGATAGGATGAGAACCATTCCAGTGCGCCATCAGAAACCAAAATACGGGAAAGGATAGCTAGCAGGATATCGTGGTCGACCATGTTAAAGGCATTCGAGAAATCCACCAGGACCAACACAGTAACCATAGTGTCCTCCATCCCTGCCCTCACATCGCTGGTGACCTTAAGGAGAGCGGTTGTGGTGCTGTGTCCAGGCCTGAAACCCGATTGAACTGAGCTAATTAAGGAGTTCCGGTGGATAAAGGAAGCGAATTGCTTGTGGACACAGGCCTCGAGCACCTTAGACAAGAAGGAAGAATTGAGATGGGGCGGAAGTGAGTAGGAAGGGTGGGATTGGAGATTTTCGGAAGAGGACGGACAAAGGCTTTGCGCCACAAGGATGGAAAGACTCCGGAGTGAAGGGAATAGTTTACCATATGAGTTATGGTGGGAAGGAGGGGGTCCAGGATGGCTGTGATCATATAACGTGATATATCATCACAACCCATGGCTTTGGATTTAATGGCAAGGATAACTTTTCGGATTTCATCAGGCTGCACTGGAACGAAACAAAAAGGAACTATAGAAGTAGAACGCTTAAGACCAGCTATTAAAGAAAGCGTCTGCTGTTTGATTCATGGATCCAGCTGAGAAACAGTTGCGAAATGGCGATTGAGATCGTCCAAACCAATCGAGCTCGGAAGGTCCAAATTTTGCGCTTTGCCGATACCTAGAGTTCCGAGAAACTTCCAGGTATCTGCAGAAGAAGAAGATGAGAGATTCCATCAAGGATAAAGCGGCGTTTTGCGTTACGTACCATCTGATTACACCTGTTCCTCGCAATCTTAAAAGCCGTCCAATTTTCCTCGGTGCGATCCCTCTTGTGCCTACGAAACGCACGATCCCTGCGTCGCATCGCCATCTGTATCCCACGAGTCATCCAAGGCGCAGGTGGTCGCTTCAGTTTAACCTTTTTGAAGGGAGCATGTCGGTTATATAAATTCGTCAAGGTATTATTGAAAAATTCAACCATTTTGTTGATATCTGTAGCTACCATCAGTGGGCTCCAATCAGTGGCCGACACATCTTGAACTAGGCTGTCGACGTCCATCCGCGCAAAACAACGCCTGTATCGAACCCTGGGATTAACCCTGGGTGGTTTGAGGATGTAGGAAAGGAAAATCAGGTCGTGATGGGAAAATCCTGGAGCCTCATATGGCCATGAGACGAAACCAGAGAGGGATTGGATATGACAATTAAATCGAGCCAAGAGTCATCACCAGCGACGTTGTGGTGAGTAGGTTGGAGAGGTAGCAGATGAAGACTTGCTGACTCGATCAAATGTCGGAGTTTGCGGGAACGAGAGGAGTTGTTGGCAAGGAGATTAGTGTTAAAATCACCCATGATTATGTGATGCGCATACTCCGAACCCACGGATTCAAGTACTGTTTCGAATTCAGTGAAGTAATCGACAGAGGGAGGACAATAAACCACACCTAGAATGAGCTTCGCCCCTCGGACACAAACCTCAAGAATTTATATTCCGCAGCACCGTTAGGGGAAGACATGGAGATAACCTTGTAAGAAAAAATCACTGCGGAGATATATAGCCACGCCACCTCCCCTACCGTCCGTACGGTCATTCCGTATCAGAATGTAACCGGTTAAGGGGTAGGTGACCGACAGTAAATGAGGCTTGAGCCAAGTTTCGGATATCAGGACGGCATGCACGTTGCTGTTATTAAATGTTTCATACAGCTCACTGTAATGGCTGGGTAGACTCTGAGCATTGATGTGACAAACATTTAACAATCGAGAATTACTATCCTCGAATTGTTTCTTCAATAAATCACCCAGACACTCAGTCAATGAGCAGAAGCTGTCGCTACCAGACGAACTATCTTCACTTGCAGAGACAAAAGAATCATTTTCAGACATGAATAAATATATAAATTATATAATAAATAAATTATATTAAATATATAATAAAATATATGATGTATAATTAGACAACACACAAATTAATCAAATAAAGTTATAATATGCTTGCTACTAAAGATATGCAACTCTGCACCACCCGCCAGCTAACAACAAATACACAAACAAACAGAAACACCAGACAGAAAAATACAAAAATCTAAATAAAAATTGATAAAAAAAAAATTTAAAAGTACATTAATAAAAACAATTTATGAACACATTAAAAAAAAAAAACCACGTGGAAAAAAAAGAACATATAAAAAGTGACATTTAGATTCTGTGCGATATCCGAACGCAACTCGCTTTTATACAATGTGTCAAATTATAGGTTGGAAATGTCACGATGACAAAGACAAGTGACGGCTGTACCTTCATGACAATAAATAAGTTTTAACGACAATAATTTTAACAAATAACACTTTGTGGGGTAACTTCGTATGATATTAAAAGAGAACAAAGGAAAAGTACTGCAACGAGAATTGTGGGTAGAAAAGTCCAAGTAAAGATATTGCAGTTCCTCATGCAGTTCACAGGAAATTTGCTAATGGCAAACGGGAACAGGAATAACATAAAAACACAAACGGTAAGTTTAAAGTTATTGAAAAAAAAAAACAACCTCTCGCACAGTATAGTTAATTGTTCTAGCTAAGTTGAACTAATTACTTGCGTGTTGATTTCAGGCTCACCGTGTGTGCCCCTGCTCCGCCCCCGGCTGCCTTCTGTGACACACTCTGCAGACTGGGATATTTGTCAAGTAGAGGACTAAGTTCTTCCATGCAAACGACTCTGTGCTTGCTTCCGTCAGACGCCTTGAGGAAGATGTTGCCGTCCTGAGTCCAGCAAGCACGCATGCCGAAATGCTGACGAGCTCTAACAAATACCTCCTGTCTGGGCCTAGTCAGGAATTCCTTGACCGTGATTTTGGTGCCCTGCAGTCGAGTCTTTGCCCTCCAGACCGAAGCCTTGTAGTCCACACTAGAGAACCGCACTAGGATCGGCCTATGATGACTTTTGTTATGCACTCCAAGTCGGTGACACACCTTAAGTGCAGACACCGGGAAATCCTGGCCCAATTTGCCATTAATGATCTGCAACATCACCTGGCTGCAGTCTTCCTTGTCCTCCTCTGGGATGCCTTGAAATACAACAGCCTTGCGACGGTTTCGCATTTCAAGGCCATCTATATTTCTGCAGCACTCTGTGACCTGGCTCCGCAGCAGCTTTAACATATCGAAGACCAGCTCCCGGAAGGTGCGGAAACTCCTCAGCTATCCTGGCCACGGTGTCCTTCGATGATCCAGCTGACTGGATTTGAGCCTCTATGTCACCCATCTTCTTCAGCAAGCTTTCCTGCACGTTCTTATGGACAGTGATAATATCTGTGATCTGTGACATTGTTTCTCTCTGCTCCGTGCTTGTGTTAAAATTAAAGTTGATGTGCTGGCAGGTGGTGGCCAAGTTAAATTAATTTACATGGACCTGGCAAGTTGTAGCACTTATTCTATTCAATTATTACACTTTACTAATCCAAATTTAGGCAATTAACTAATTTTATAAATTTAATTTAATTATTTTTGAGCAATAAATAAATGGCTTTACCCTTTCAATACTTATTATCTTAATGTCTTTCTTGAAGCAGGTGCTTCAGAATGACTGACTAATATAATGTTAATCTAACTTAAAGATAAATAGACTATTTTACCTTATGAAATAGTCGGTTAAGCGCCTAGGAACTTAATAAAACATTTCGGATATTGTTATTATAAAGGTAAAGAGTTTGAACGCTCACATCTGCGAAAATGCTGGTTCGAATTGTTTTTTTTTGTGCTGGATGGTCCACAATGAAGGTTCGCCTTAAGGAGTCGAGCAAGTGGAATAGCACGGCAGTAGATAATTAAAGCTATGGCTTTTTGTCGCTAGGTATATTTTCATAGCTTTGAGTACAGCGCATGCGCACTACACAGGCTGCCGACTGTACAAATAAATTTCACGTGAGATCTTACACAAGTATTTGCTAAAAGACCGTTCGTTTTACACAGACCGCGTTTCTTATTTCGTATTTAACTATTAAACATTTACCTGGGGGTCATTGCACTTTTTCGACTGGTCAGTTGGAGACTTGTTAAACCACTGGTGTTGCGGGTGCCCTTAGCCATCCGGCTGATTGTTGACGCCAAGTCTATGCTATGAAATAAAAAATTGGAACGTATGGAAACAAATCTATTATTATGACTGATTGAAATAGTTACTTCTGATTTTTTTTAGCGCATGGGTAGGCAAACGATCTCGTGGTAAAAAATCGGCGTCGCCCATGGACATTCGCAATATCAAAGCAGTAACTACAAGTGCGTTGCCGATCTATTGTGGGTTTTTAGAGATTTAAGGATAGGGGATTTGAGAATTGAGATCAGCGGACGCAGGGGAAGGATTGGGTCTCCGGTAACCTCACTCACACGGTGAAACACAACGCTGAGGTTGTCTTTTTACTCATTCTTCTCTATATGAATCTAAACTTTGGCACGATTTGCTCATTCTGAAGAGTTCACAGACAGACGTTGCTCTTGTCTGACCTTCAAAAGTTCGATTTTGACCTGATTTTAATATATTTTTTGGACTTTTATTTCCAAATTGGTTCTTTTTCAATAGGTTCGTGTGTAGGAGTAATCAATTTGTAAATTTTTTTAGCCATTCTCGTAAACTTTCGCGTTTATTTCAGTTGGTCGAATTTGACCTTGGAAGCAGAGAGATTTATTAACTTGAAAAACAAAGTTCAAGAACTATTGGACTAGTTGATTACTAGTTTTCTGAAAGTAGCTCATAGTCTTGATGAAAAAAAACTGGAAATATGTAAATATAATTAGCTTATATTGAAAGAAAAATTCAATCACACTGTTGATAGGGACTGGGCATTACATTTGGAAGAAATCGCCCGTTATGTATTACGAATAACCAATTAAAATGCCCAGTATATACCAGGGATTCTTTCAAATCAGATGACAATAAATTTATTTTTGTTTCTCAGATTGTCAAAATTATGTAAAAGTTCCAGATGAAGCCGGCATTTCCTATCTGACTACTCTGTCAGGTCCCTTTGCAAGTCCAGACAAATGGAAAAATAATGTACGAGACAGTGTCTGTCCTGCTATCATATCATATTATATTATAGTATCGCATGACTCATGACTTGTATGAGTGTGCAGCCATCCTTATGGGAACAGGTTCGATATGATCAGTTTCGTTGAACTTTTAGCTCGGCTAGTACAATAACCGGTAATGTCGCTAAAAATAAATATATACATGTATACATACATATAATCAACCAGTTCCCTCGACCCGGCGACACATGGGTGCTAGATCCTGATTATCCTGGTGATTACGTAGATGGTTTCTCTTCAATGGAACTTGGTATTTCCTGGAAGGTGGATCAATGGTTAGTGTCTAACTATCACCAAGCGATATGACAAGATTGGGCATTATAGAAGTTGTATATTAACCTCTGTTAAGAGGGAGGTCTTAGTATAAATAAAACAAAGTCACTTTCTCTGTCCCTATATCCCTATGTATGCTTAAATCTTTTAAACTACGCAACGGATTTTGGTGTGGTGTTTTTTAATAGATAGAGTGATTGAAGAGGAACGTTTATATTTATAATAACATCTATTACATAGTGGAGAAATTTAGTATTAGCATTGCACTCGTGTGTAGCTGAGGCGGGTTGCTAGTTTAATTTACAAATTTAAAAAGTGTCAGTCTGTCTGTCCCTCTAGTAAAGTTATTTGCTCGTTCCAAACGAGCAAGAAACTCTATAGTTAAAATTTTTCACTACATTATAATGTTGGTTCAACTATGTGAGAACCATATTGAAATTAAAACACGTCATTGAGAATGACCGTTTAACTTTATCAAAGCAGCTTAGCATACTTATTACAGAGTTGAGACTTTGAGAGTATCCTCGAAAATTTTATTGAGGATATATTTTAATACGACGACGGTTACATTTTTTACGTGGACCGAACCGGTCTTCCGAATCCTAGCTAGAGCGAGACGGGTGTAGTGTTTGTTCGCGAGTGAGTGGGACGCAACACGCGGCCGTTGGAAGTGCACTGTGTCTCAGAGATTTTCTGATAATATGTATACTCTTATATTGGACACGATTTATGTGAAAAAAATATGTTTATTTAGTTTTACATACAACTTCTGTATGATATGCTAAGGCCTGATTTTTCAATAGTCAGATAAATGTTATCTAAGGAATAAAATTGTTGCTGTCACTGTCTTATACAAACATTTTGACGCGATAGCATCATAAATATTTCCCAGGTAACTTTTATCTAACCATTGAAAAATCAGCCCGAGTAAAGTTTTTGTCGTGGGGTCTTTAAAAAAGTGTGCGAGATCCAAGCTTCGACACGAATGGGTCGGCTCGACCGGAGTGATACCACGGCCTCGTAGGAAAACGACGTGAAAGAATGACCAGGTTAAAAAAAACCTATAAAACCTAATTGCGTACTATTTTTGCGTCGGAGATTTTTTTAGATAGGCATGGAAAATTTCTCTAAACGAATACTTACAATAACATTGTATTATCAAAGAAATCTTTCATATTTGAATACTGGTAATTAGTTGTTATCATTTTTTTTTGTATAAGTAAATAGTTCTCAGTCGGCGTTGTGTGTTATCAGTAGTTGACTTCTAGTCTGTGGCCTCGACTGGACAGTACTGTCTTATATAATGGATGAGTAATATCTATACTATTATTATAAAGAGGTAAAATTCGTAAGTTTGTATGTAGGGGGTAATCTTTAGAACCGCTTCGGTTGGATTGTCAAAAATTCTTTCACTGATAGGTAGCTACAATGTTCCTGTGTGCTATAGGCTATAAAACATCATGCTACGATTAAATGGAGCCGAGCAGTAGGTGAAACCGCTATCTATCCGTGAAAGAATTTTGGCAATCGGACCAGCGGTTCCAAAGATGACCCCCTACATACAAACTTACAAATTTTACCTCTTTATTATATTAGTATAGAGAAATGTTCCTTTTCAATGAAGTAAAAGACCACCATGTGTGGGGCCTAACAGGGCCGATGTTTAGCCGGAATCGCGAGTCAAGCAGAATTTGGAGAAGGAACGGGCTGAGTTTAGTCAGTAAGAGTCTGACACTCCCGCACGACTATGTTGAAGTTTGATGATTTTCCTCTCAAAAAAAAAAAGGAATGAAACGTCATATAATTTTTATTAACTTATTTATTTATTATAATAAGGTAGGCTCACAGCTTATGTATACTAAGTTTTTTTGCTTATGGGCAGTAGGTCATATACATTAGCCAGTTACGAGCTAATCAACATTCTAAAAATTATGCGTTTGTACAGACAATAAGAATAAGAATAAGAAATCTTTATTTGTATGAAACACGGGGTACATAGATGTAATATTTGTGATAAGTTCTGCATGTTTCGCCGTAGCATCGGCATACAAATATATATAAAAAGGGTATTTATCAACTAAAAAAACTTAAAAACAAATAACAATTTAAAATCTTAAAAACTAACAATACAATATTAAGAATTTATGGTACCTAGCCTAAACAGTTTTTTCCTTATGAGCCATATACTCGGCCATAGAATAGAAACATTTCTCTAAAAGCCATTTCTTGAGCACATTCTTAAATTTACACAGTGGTAATTCTATAATATTATATAGACATTATAACTAGAACTAATCAAATTAGCTTAAGTAGGGTAACAGTATTTATTTTTGCAATAAGGTTATGCTATTAGATACTCCCATGTGATGTTTTATAGCCTTCCTTTCCTAGATATAAGTGGACTACCCAAAATAAAATAATTGTTCAATTAGAGATTCACGTTCTTTTTTTGTGGTGTTTGGCCGCTATTTTGCCTGATGGCTAGCGATGATGCGACCTACGTTGATTAGTCTACCTGAGCCTTGATGACAATCTATGAGGAACTCGGGATTTCGGCTAAGAATTCCACTCCTCAGCGGTTTTGATGATGAAACTGGAGGCGAATCGCTTCGTGTTTTTTTATATATAAAAGGACGGCAAACGAGCAGACGGATTACCTGATGGTAAGCAATCAGCGCCGCCCATGGACACCCGCAATAACAGAGTTACGAGTGCGTTGTCGACCTTTTAGGGATTAGGGATTGGGGGAGGGGAAGGATTGGGCCTCCGGTAACCTCACTCACACGGCGAAACACTACGCTGCGGTTGTTTCACGCCGGTTTTCTGTGAGGCCGTGGTGTCCGGTGTGTGGACTCCGGTCGAGCCGATCCATTCGTGCCGAAGCATGGCTCTCCCACACTCAAAACAGTGTGTGCATCAACAAAAATATTAATAAGTATAGATAATTTTAAATAAAACTCATAACTT